CCAGTTGGGCCACCACAGAGCGGGCCATACTGAGTGGGTAAAGCCCAGGCGTTTGTTACTGAGGCTGAGTTTAACAGTCCAACTAACACATCGATGCAAAGTCTCCAAGTAGGACTTTCAGTGTTGAAGCCTGTAAAGGACGGGGTTGGGGGGAGGCGCGCGCTCCGGGGGTGGGGTGGGGGGATACACGGATCACTAAAGCGCGACGTTCACAGGCAGCTTTAGACACGTCACTTCTATCGAGAACGAATTTCAAAATTAAGGGGCTTTCCAGGACGGTTTTGATATGAGAGAGAGAGAGAGAGAGAGAGAGAGAGAGAGAGAGAGAGAGAGAGAGAGAGAGAGAGAGAGAGAGAGAGAGAGAGAGAGAACAGGAACCCGTTGGACCACGGTATCAAGGGTAGGGAGAACCGAAGCACCCTTTTTTGCCGCCGGCCACCAACTGAATCACTCCAGGGAGTGCAGAGAGTGTATTGTGTGTGTGCACAGGGTCGGGGGAGAGGGCTCAGAAGTCCAGCGCAAGACTAAGGAAACCTTAGCAAGAATGGAGCTGGCTCCGCGGGCTACTCGTGGGAGGAGTTGCGGTCAGACCTGAGAACCTGGCCCCAGCTGGCGAAGTGGCGTGGCCGGAGCGCCAGGGATCCTGGGCACTGGCGAGCGTTCTTCTGGGAAGAGTACGCTGCGCCGCCGTCGGACTTACTGGAAACGCGCCGGATCAGGTTCCAGATCAATGAAATCTGGGTCCACACGTTTACGTTATTGTTGCCAGCATTAATGCTCTTTTAATCTTCTAAACATTATCAGCATCGATCTCCCTCCGTATACACATTTGTTTGAGAAAGTGACATAACCACACGGTGGAAAGCCTGGAATAAAAATAAACGCGCGGCCCCTCTAATCCACCGTTCCCGGCGGCCTGGAATTCTCCTGGAGCTCGGATTCACTCAGCTCCCTCGCGTCCCGCCTCCTCCGCAAGCTCCTGCCGTTCTCAATCTGTGTTAGGAAGGCGTTCTTTGGGGACTAGGGACTTGAAGCACGGACGGACGCCGGTAGTGAGCTTTTCAGTTATTAATCGGATCAGCCAGCAGGCGAACCGATCAGTCTGTTCTGCACGGACGTGTGTAGGGTTTGGCCTCCCGGCTCGCCTCCCGGAACTAAGTCCCTGAGAGTGGCGGGCTGGGCCCCGGGTTGGAGAAACAAGACGGTGGGGAAGGCTGGGTGGGGAACCGAAGGAACTCTAAGGTGGAGGCCCTCTTCCAGTCCTTCAGTTTAGCAAAAAACCGCTCTCCCGCGTCATCTAAATACCTGTAGCTCGCGGCTGGAGACGCGCAGGTAAAGTGTGCCTGGGCAGAAGCCATAGGCCAGTCAATGCTCCGACCATACCACTACGGCGGCCATCCAAGTAGGTCCGACGACGTCGGGCTGGTTAAGGGTCTTAGACTACCTGAACTGAGTGGGCTCCATCCTGACTGTCTGGGGGGCTGCTTTCTGGAGAAGGCCACATTGTCTTCCCGCAGTTGGCACTAGAGCCCGGCTCCCGGAGGGCCAATCTCAGAGGCCGGTGCCCAGGAGGCAGAGAAACCTCAGCTAGGAAAGTAATAGCAGCCACGCTATTGTTTTCCTGCGTGGTGGTGGTGGTGGTGGGGGCCTCATCTTTAAAGTCTTGGTTTTCCTCCACCTGGCAATGAACTCAGGTCCCCCCCCCCCCCCCCCCCCCCCCCCCCAGTTCTCCAGGTCCCTCCTAGTTTGCTTTTGTGCGCGGTGCAGAAGGCCCTTGAGGATCAAAGCCCTAGAAAGTGTGCTCAAACCTGCCTGAGTTTGTCCTCAGGCCGGGATAATAAGAACCGCCCAGCGGGATCCCGTCTTGGGCCACTCCCAGCCGATTGGGCCGGTGGCAACCCCTTGCTGTTCTCACCACCCAGCGCAGGTAGAGTTCCTTTCTCTGACTTCTATGTTGGGACAATCCAAGCTTCCCCAGCATCCTCCCCGGTCCTCTCTAGAGTAGCCTGGACTTGGCTGTGCCAGCATGGGCAGGCTGGAAGATCTAGTCTTCGGGTGACTGGGATGTACTTGACCTAAAGGTAGAGCTTGAATATGGTGGCCAAATCCAAGGTTTCCACTTGGAGTCCCTCCAATCCCTGTCCAGATGGGTCTCAAAATGATAAAGGGTGGGGGAGAGAGAGAGAGAGAGAGAGAGAGAGAGAGAGAGAGAGAGAGAGAATGAGAATGAACAACGATAATGTGAATGGGTGGCCGGAAGTGGCCCCAGATCGTGTAGGTGCTGGGCTGGGACAGCCATCCCGGGGAGTCGCTGGCTTGCTTAACCCCAGGGTCCCAAAGGCCTGGGCCCCGGCTGCTTCCCAGCGGGGTTTCCCATCGATCAATAACAATCAAAAGGCCTCCCTTTTCTCCTCTGTGTGCTTCTGTTCCCTACTCTACTGAGCACATAATGCCTATTTACTTGCCCCAGCTTTTGCCGCAGTGTCTGAAGAGACTGATCTACTGACCCCGTACTGAAAAGCCTCCTGTGTGATAATAACCACTCGACACACTTGTAGTTGCTGATAAAACGGTGAGATAAAAAGGCGAAGGCACTTGTCCCTTTTCACCTAGGGTAATAAAAAACAGACTCACATTTAAATGTTTGAGCAAGGCCGGGTCCTCAGCGCACTTCCCCTTCGGCGTCCCCCGCCGAAAAATCACTCTACACGGTCTGTGGTCTGGAAGGCTTGCCTCTCTCTAGGAGCCTCCCGGCAACTCTCCAGGAGTTTGAGGCGGAAAGCCCCCGGTACCACACTCTTCCTCCTGCGGCTGCAGCAAGATCTCATAACAAGGAGAGGCTTAACTTTCAAGACCTACACAGGCAGAACGCTAGCGTTTTTCCAACAGCCTTGTCCTTTGCCCGACCGGCGTGAGGGGGCGGCAGCGCTCCGAGATGGGCCAGAGAAGAACAGCTGTCATCCAGCCTTTCACTGTACCCCAAAGAGCAGCTGCCAAGTTCCTTCTAGCCCCCAAGCGCTGGAAGCCAGCCGAGGCTGGAGACCCCTTGGAGCTAGCGCTTCCTGTATTGGGGAGAGGGGAGTCTAAAACAAAGAGTTGCTACCATGGGAGCTGTCGCCAGGCCTCCAGCCCTCACAGCTTTGTCTTTGCTGGGGGCCAGGAGCAAATCTGAGGAAAATGTAGGAGAGGATGAAGAATAAACTCACGGAGAAGAGAGAGAGAGAGAGAGAGAGAGAGAGAGAGAGAGAGAGAGAGAGAGAGAGAGAGAGAGAGAGAGAGAGAGAGAGAAAGTCAACTTCGAACTCCAGAAGTGTCCTCAGCCCACTGATTTTGACTGGAGGTCTCTGGATCAAATCTCCGTTTTTGTTTTGTTTTGTTTTTCTCTTTTTGTGTTTGTTTGTTTGTTTACCCTTTTAGATTGATAGGGGAGGTTACTGAGCAGTGAACAAAATCCAACAGTAGCCAAAGGAGGCGGAAACGCCTCCTCCTCCGAAGTAGTGACCTAGTCCTGCTAGGCAACCGTAGGATGCACCCGGCAAAAGTCCTGGGGGACCGAGTGGACACCTGAGCTAGCAGATCCAGAGCGCTAGTGAGCAGTGAGGGCCTGATTCAGACCCCTCGAGCCTCAATGCGGGCTTTATGCAAACTAAGGCCAACACTAATTGTTCTAGAGCACCAAGCCTTTTCTGAGAAGTCGCCCGGCCCGGCCAGGCCAGGCTTGCAGCCGGGTATTGTATGTCCTCACCAGTGGGAGGTCTGGGCACCTTGCCCGTCTGGGTCCGCTGTTCAGGCCTGGGGGTTGAGCAGTCGTGGCACTCTGGAAGAGGGGTCTGCGTGCCGCACAAAAGCCCCGCAACTGAGTCAGCCGCAGCCTGGGCTGCGTCTTTCGGTCTTGTACCCACCGCCCACACCGGAGGTTTCAGTGTTCCTAGAACAATAGAGGGCTGTACCTCGCCTCTCGGCCGCTAGAGGAGGCACAGAGAGCTGGTGCCCGCTCCAGAACAATGTAACCCGCGCGTTGACCGGTCCCCTGCCGCGGGCTGCTAGCCCTCCCCGCCACGCCGCGACGCGTACAATCAGCGCCCGCTTAATGCAAAGGCGGAGCTTACAGCTTGCCGAGGCCAAGAAGCATTAACTAACTCGCATCTTAATTTCTCAGCCCCTCTTTCTGAGAGCTTAACCTCTCTCTCGGAGTCCTGTCAAACCTCAGCAAACCCTTGCAAAGGCTTGTAGCCCAGCAAGGGCTGCAGGCCAGTAGGGCAAGGAGCTCCTTACTCTGGTGTCTCCTTTCCAAAGCGATGAATGTGACAGCCTCAACCTTCGTCCTTGCACCCTCTTTCCTGTAGTCAGTGACACCGGAGTCGGCCAGACTCCGCTCTTTTGGTGGGTCATAAAGTCCTTGGGCTAACACCAAAGCCTCAGATAGGTTCTGGAAGCGGTATTGTATCCTGGCCGTTAGTTCCCAAGCGCCGCAAGGGTGTATTTCCTGCCAGTGACCAAAGAAGTTCGCCTGCTTTGGTGGGTAGGAGGGGAGTGAAGAACTTTTACTTTTCTAAGGAGCGAACCCCCCCCCCCAACAGTCAAAAGCATCTACATTAGGAGACTAGGCACCCTGGAACACGGAAATGTGTTGTCCTAAGAAAGTTCAAGTACAACAGGGCTTCTGGAGGACACCAGGAGCCCCGATCCCGCCTCCCACTGTAGGAGGAGGGGAAAGGTCAGCACACTGATAAGCGGAAAGGGAGGGGGGCAAGGAGAACTCAGAGGCAATGAGTGAGAAAACAGGAGAAGCAAAAAAAAAAAAGGGGGGGGGGGGGAGAAGAGAAATAAGGGGGAGACGAGAAAGTGAAAACGGAAGGAAAAGCAAGAGAAGAAAGGGGACGTATACAGGAGAGAAGGGAGCACACAGCTGAAGACCAGAACCCGCGCACAGACCAGCCCTACAAGCACACGGGGGCTGTTTCCCCAGCAGCCTGGCTGCCGGCTGCCCCTGAGCTTACCTGCCAGGCGTAAGGCAGACATGCGCTGGAACTCGGGCTCCTGCAGCCACTTCCACATCCTGCGGAAGGTCTCCCTGCCAGATTTGAGTTTACTCCAGGGTTTGGGATTCCGGAGCAGGTCGGAGAGAGTCCCCTGAGAGCGGCATAGAACCCTCTGTGCGAAGATCGCCTGTGGGATGCTGTAGCGCTTCAGCTCGGCGGTGATACGCTGGGCCACCTCTTTGGTGTTGATCTCCTCCAGCTGTCCCGACGTGGCCACCTGCGAACCCGAGGAGGACGACGGGGGCCGCTCGCGGCTAGGAGCCAGCACTGGCCCATGGGACTGAGTGTGGCCCGGGTGGTGCAAGCCATTGAGGTGAGACATCATGGCCGCAGGCGGGGTGCCCAGGCCTCGGGACAGGTGTTGCTCACCGCGGGTCAGCATGGCAGTGTGGTGCGCGTCGAAATTGGGGCTGAGCATTTTGTCGTGGCCCGGCGGACCATAGTTGGGCAGGCTCTGCTGAGCGTTGTGAAGGCCACCCAGTCCGTTGCCCAGCGGGGTGGCAGCCAGCGGAGACAGGCTCTGGCTCATACTAGGCATCTCCTTGTAAGGGCTGTAAAGGTTGTTCATGGACGGAAGCCCGCGCTCGTCGCGCATGAGGGTGAAGCTGCCACTGACGTTGCCCGACAGACGCTGATGGTGATGGTGGTGGTGATGGTGGTGGTGAGGGTGGTGGTGAGGGTGCGGGTGGTGGAACTTGTCTGACACCGTGGAGATGGGTGGCAGCGGCTGGAGCGGCGTCAGCGTGGTGTAGGTGTTGCTCATGCCCATGCCTGGCGGGGACGAGTCGCAGGACATACTCATGGCGTGGTGCAGCGGGATGGAGAGCTCAGGCCGGTAGTCGCTGCCGTCCAGGATCGAGGCCATACTGGTGACCATGGCCGAGCGCGACGCCGCGGCTGCCGCCGCCGCCGCGGTGCCCAGCTCCTGATGCGCGGTTGGCGGCGGCGGCGGGCCACGCAGCGAGCCAGCAGCGCCGCGGCCCGCGTGGTGGGGGCTGGGGCTGGCCAGCAGCTCCTGCTCATGGCCCGGGCCCCCGCCCCCGCCCCCGCCGCCCCCGCCGCCGCCCCCGCCGCTGCCGCCGCCGACCGGCCCGTGCAAAGTGCCCAGACTTTCCATTGTCAGCTCCGGGTTCATGGCGCAGCCTTCTAGGTCTTTGGTGAGGCATCGATAGGCGGTGTAGGCAGCCTTCATTCAGTCCATCGGGGCCCGGGGGCGGTGGGAGCGGCGGGGGCTGCCGGCGGGCTGGCTAGGCACGCGTGGCGTGGTTCGGCCACGGGGCTCCGGGGGGGGCGGGCGTGCGAGTGCGGGAGTGTGTGCTGGGGCGTGCGTGCGGGTGTGTGCCCCGGGCTGCGGGCGGGCGGGCGCGCCCGGGGTGGGGGTGGGGTGGGGGCGGACAGGGCGTGCGTGCGGGAGAGGGGAGGGGGTAGGGAAGGAGGGAGGGATCACCGGGCCCCGCCGCTTGTGCGGGCGCGCTGCCTCGCCATGTCCGAGCCCACTCTGGCGCCGACGTCTTCTGTTTGGGTGAGCGGGAGCTGTCCAGAAGGGCTCTGCCGCTTGCCGGAGCAGCCAACCTATCCTCCCGGGCCCGGGGCGGGACCGTGCTCGATGGGCATTAAGAGAAACCAATCCGCGGCAGGAACGGCCTCGGAAGGCAGACCTTCTCGGAGCAGCTGCCAATGGATGGGGAGGGGCGGGGCCGAGCGTTTCAGGTTTGGCTGACAGCTCGGTTCGCCAACCCCCCCCCCCCCCTCATTTTTTTGCTCCTGGAACCAAGCGTCAAGGAGAAGAAGGGAGGAGAAGGGGGGTGCTGGGGAAGAGAGAAAGAAGCAAGAGTGCGGGGCACCAAGGGGGATTATGTGAGAGATGCCGCTTTCCGCCTCTCCTGGGCAGCTAGCTACAATTTGGGTTGATTGCTTCGGTTTCTTTAGTCTCACCTCAAAGCTTTTCTTCACTCCCCGTAAGCTTGTGGAACGGTAAAAAAAAAAACAAACGCGCGTCTCCTAGCTAGCCACTTCCCGAGAGTCCCCTCGCAGGCAGCTAGCAGTCTAGCTTTTAAAATGCAGGCGCTAATGTGTTCTAATGCACGGTAAATTTCCGAGACTGGGATGTGCATAATCTATGGGGGGAACAGCAGCTCGAACGCCTAGGCTGCCTAAGAGCTGCGGCCGGCGGCGGCGGCGGCGGCGGCGGCGGCGGAAGGTTCACACTGACGGCGGCGCAAGCAGCCCTAATGCATGCAAAGTTAACACAATAACATCATTTAATTACTTGGCCAGCCCATAAATCTCCCAGTTATGAGGCTTCAGAAGGGCCCTACTAGATTGCAAAACAAAACTAAAATTCCAGCAGCTGCGGTTTCGAGGTGACCAAATGCTTGCTCCTTCAGAGAGCAGGGAAGAAGCGGGGGAGAGTGTAGAACTCACTCGTGGGGTTGGGGGCGAAGATTGTTATTATTGATATCCACAGCCCCACAAACTTCTCCTGGGGGCAAGGAGTATGCAAAATAGTGGGGACTGCACCGGCGTTGTCTTTCCTCTATCAACACACACACACACACACACACACACACACACACACACACACACACACACACACACACACACTCGTACCGCTTATCTCAAATTCTAGAGAGGACTGTCCACCCTAGGTTACTACTGTAGGTAGGTAACGGTCTGCCTCCGCTGGCATTTGCATTTTCAACTCTGGTTTCTGAAAAGCTCCGAGCCTGGGCTAGGGTACTGACTACGAGGGAGAACGCTCTCTCTCTCTCTCGAAAGCCGTAGCTTTAAAAAGTACACTTTCGTCTTCCTAGAATTCCGGTTGTTTGACAAACCCAGGTCGCGAGGTCGGAGTGGAGGAGGTAGTAATTTCCGCGAACTGTGTGGGGGTTGAGGGGTTGTAGAAGACAGCCAAAGAGGCCAACACCCGGCATTGAAAGCCTTAAAAGTAACAGATTCTTCCAAAGCAGGTTGCGCTCCGTTTGCCTCCGAAGATTCAAGCGAGCTCGAGGTTGCGCAGATGTTGCCTTTGTTTAAAGAGACAGTAATTAAGGACAGGGTGGACATAAGTTTGAGAAGCGTGACCTATTTTCTTTTGATCAGCTGTCAAAAGAAGAGCAGGGGGTCTTCTTAAGACAGCCCCCTCCGACCATTTCCAGCTGTTAGGGAAAACTTGATAAGGAAACAAGGACAGCCCAGAATACTGTATGTGCCTTCTTGGGACTAGAGAACGGTTTAATTCATTTGGAAAACAGTTCTTCTGGAAGTGACCTTTTCTTTGGGTCTCCTCTCTTTTCCAACTACAGACACACCCTACCACCACCCATGAATGTTCGGTGGTGATGTTATTCATAGATCAACTTTATTGAGCTCTGGTCAATATGTTGCCAATTATTCTTTCAAATAGCATCCTCTGTGACACCAAAGCTTGGGTAAGAAAGCGGCACTCCTCAGTCTTTGCCAAATCTCTCGTTTCCTAGCTGTTCACATCTTGAGTGTCACAGAAGAGACACACAAAATAATGCAGTTTTCGGTTGCTCTGGTTTCTTCCCATGTTGCTTCCTTCACTGTATCTATGGTGGTTGGGCACAGGATAATTCGAAATGGCTAATGTTTGAAACACACACCTTGTCAAACAAAAGTTCTCCAGACAGCAACCTGCTTTGGTCTCCTAGTGCTCAGTGACAGGACCCCAAACAACAGGGCAGGGCAGGGCAGGGCAGGGCAGGGAAAGGTCTCTCTGATGGACTCCAATGCTGACTGTAACTTCCAGTTGCTGTTGCCCTGGCTTCAGGCTCAAAGAGTAGCCAGTGACCCCCTAGGCTGATGCTTCGTACAAACAGAACACTAAGCATATGCATTTCCATTTAACTATTTTTCAAAATGATAAACTAATTTACCAGACCACCAAGGTAACTCTGCTCCTGGGAATTGCATTTCTGTGCTGAGGACAGAAAGGTGAGCTGCGTTTTCTCTCACTGCCTGGCTTCTTCCCTCCTCCCTCTCTCCCTCCATTCCAACCCCCCTCCTCTCAATCAATATTGACGATCTCAGGAAAATGATGAAATCGCATTGGTCGTCTTTGTATATAATTTCATTGGGTTAAATTAAAGCAGATTTTTTTCCACGATGTTTTCCTAATAGCTTTGACGTTTTATGTACCAACCCAGAACCCAATGAAAGGGATAATGAAAGCTCTTGTTTAGTTAGCAACCTCATTTTTTACTGACTTGGATTTTAGATGTCCCTCCCCTTCCTTTCTAAAAAGGGAAAACTATTCATTTCCCACCTTGAGATAATTTTAACAGTAGCAATACTAATGAGATTTTGAAATAATGTTTTGAAATACTTTGGTGTTTCTTTCTCATTATGTCTCCAATAAAACAAAAGGGGGGAGCTGCCTTTTAATCATCCCTTGTTTAGCCCCATGCTCTGCTCAAAGCTTAACAAGTTCTTTAGGTCAGGGGTTTGCCTTTTAATGTGAACTTACACTCTGCTCTCCCTGCCTCTCCAGCATTTGATTCACAAATAGTCTATGGAAATGTAGTGCCCACACAGCCCAGCCGTTTCTGTTAGAATCTGGGGACGTGTATCAGGCTTTGTGTTAGGACAGGGAGATCCACTTCTCGGTATATCACATCTGCAGGTCAGATAGCCTTCACAATCAGAAATGTAAATGAGGATAGAAAAAAAATGTCCGACAGACTAGATTTTTGCACGATAGAAGAAAAAAAAATTCAGAGCTTAAGTTAGAAATGGCACGAAAACACTAAAAATATTTACTATCAGGTTTTCACTTGTACTTTTCATATTGAAACTGGGGAGACTCAATTAAAACAGGAACTCTATAAATTATTCACAAAAAATACAAACAGACCCTAAATCAATACAATCTGGATAAGATACCAACAGCTTTGTTTTAAGTTAAAACACACACAACACAACAAAACAAAACAAAAAAAACAAAACAAACAGAACCCAACAGCAGCCATAGCCTAGTCTGGAAAGACACAGGGCTAGAAAAACACCCAAACACTCAGTATATACCCAGGTTTAGTGTTGGCCCCAACGTATTTGTGCTACAGCTAGGTTTATCCGAGCAGTACCAAAGGGGGGGGGACAGTGGTGGGCTGTTTTGGACTATTTTATTTTTGCCCTTCCCCAAACCATCTGGCGTGTGAGTGTAGGGGTATTGATCAGGGTGTGTGAGCTGCAGACCCCATGCCAATCCATAGCCTTTCTAGCAATCAGCATCGCCCATGAATTGCAGCTGTCTGTGTAGCTCCGGGACAGAAATCTTCACACACAAAAAGCACCCCCCCCCCCTTATCAAACACATCATCCATTCCTGGGTAAGTCAATATCATTTCTTTGTCATTGTACGAGGGAGGATTATGCAGGAGAAAGTTTTTGTTGTCTGTGTGTGTAGCTGCTGCTGCTGTTGCTGCTGCTGCTGCTGCTGCTACAACAGCCTTTTTCTTTTTTCTTTCTTTCATTTTTTTTTAAAGGAAGGAGAGCAATTTTCTAGCCATTGAATGGTAATGGTTTTCCAGTAAGGCCTCGAGCGTTTATATGAATCGGACAACAAATGGTGTTTTAATATTGTGGGGAAATTTCAAGAAGAGAAAGAAATTCTTATGTTGCTGTACACAAATAATAGTAGTGATAATAGAGGCTTCCTTTTAATGGTGGAGAATTTTCTTCCCTTTTCTCAGAGTCTCTAGTAATGAAGACCCGGCAAGTCTCTGTGATTACACGTGCAGATGCACCGTGGGTGTTTGTGGCAGAGAGGGAGCCTTCAGAATTGTGGCTCGGTTTGATATCTCCATTAGCTTCAATTTTCTTCTGTCTGAAAGCTTGGGCTGCTTGAGCACAGGAAGAAAACCAAAACTAAAGCCGAAGCCCAGCCCAAGCCCCTTCAGCTTCTCACCCTATAAAGCCACTGACACCTTTAAAATGTCCTGCTGGATCTAGGAAATTTAATAATAATAATAATAATAATAATAATAATAATAATAATAATAATAATAATAATAAAGTTTTCTAGTGGCTGAAGCCAAATTAGTCCTTTGGAAAAAACTCCTGCCTCCTCTTATGGATTGTGTTAAAGTATTTCTAGGTGACCAGATCCTTCAAATGCCTGCCTCTAACTGCATAAGGTTGGCAAAAGACACTTTGCTTGGGGGGCAGAGAGCTGGTATTTGTGAGTCTTTTCTTCCAGCTTATCTGGCCTCTTAAGGGAAAAGCTGAAGCTACAGAAGCCCTGTTCCAGGAGAAGCTTTTTCTTAGAGGGACAGGTTCAGCTCTAAGACTCGAAGGTGGAGTTGGAGGGGTATGTGTGTTGAGGGGGGGTATGTTTGAGAGCAGGTGAGAAGGGACAGCTACCAACCCAAAGAGCATAGGCACCTGCTTACAGGGACTGACAGTTCAGCAGAGGCAGCCAAAACCAGAATCGTGACTTCAGCTGAGCTGAGACACCAGCAGATTCACCTGCCTAGTTTTTAAAGAAAGCCAGGAGCTGGTTCAACCAACCCTAGTCTTTCTCTATCCCCAAAGATTT